GCGATTCTGACGACGACGGTGACAACGACGAGTGCGGTTGTTCGCGAGAGATTTCACGTTTCGCGCGCGATTCTCGTTGCCCTTGGTTCCGATCGTTCGTCCGCGAGTGCGTCGCGACGCGGCGGTTTTACGATCTGAAGACTGACGAACGTTGAGTTCACGTAGTCTCGCTGCGCTTGCGCTCGTGGGGCTCGCTGGGAATGACATCCAACGGCCACGAGTCGCACCGGGAACCGGGAAGGGAGCTCGTGGCGCAGAACAGAAAAAGTAGACGGCGACGCAGTGAATTGCGTCGCTTAAGCGCTTCGAGGAAGTTCTACGTGACGAAAAACACGGGTTTAGCGAGGACAGATCACAATTATTGGTCTCTCAACAAGGTGGCGAAGAAGTTCAAGTTGAAGTCGCCGAACCCGGTAGTCGTTCTGAGCAAGCATCTCAAGGCGCGCGGTGTGAATTCGCGCCCAGTGGCAAATGGTGGCCAAGATAACCCCTTGCGCCCGATTTTAAGCGAGACTTTGACATCACACACAAAGCTGATGACGCTGGTGACTGATTTCGTGAAAGACAACGCGGTCAAGATCAGATCGACCGACGTTGCATTCCTTCCCAGTGGCGTCACGAGCGACGCCGCGATGGCGAGAGCCGAACTCGGGGTCAACAACGCCAAACGCGCGGTCGCGGATGCTAAAAGGAAGAGGCAAGACAAAAAACGCAAGGAGGAAGACCTCTTGTGTCAAGCAATTCAAGATGCGCCCGCAATATTGGCGCGAATCGAGTCTCTCAACGATCTGCGCGCATGTACTAGAGCACAGCTCATCACGCTCCATCGCAGCGTTTTGAGACTTCATCCAAGGTGCCAGCCGAAAAAAGCTGACCTGATCGCCGCCCTGACGCTGGAAATATCAAAAGAGATTGAAAGTAGGAATCAGCACGCGGAGCCTCACGCTGAACTGCCCGGCGTACCGGTGCCAGCGCCCATCAACGCAATTGACGCAGAAATGCTCAAAATCGCCCACATCGAGCCGATGACGGAGACTCAAACGTCACTCGAGCCGATGCCGATGGGCAAAATCTCCAAAACTCTAAAAAATTCTCTAAAATTTGCCAAAATTTTAGAGTTTTAGCAATCTCTTTTTCAGCCTAATCTCCGTAATGGTTGTGCACACCTTTTGTTGACGAGTCATAATCGGTCAATCTATGTATGGGTAAACAGTATGATTAAAAGTCTGCGTCAAGAGGACGTGACGCAGACACTTCACTGAGTATTACGTACGAATGGAAACCTAGAACCAGTTACTCTGTAGTCGTTTTTTCTTCGCACGCAATTTTTCATCGAATCCTCCCGGTGACGCCATCCGCATTTTTGCAACTCTTCTAGCGGCAAACACTTCACCCACTAGCTCAGCACCGCTTGATCCCTCCAACTCGTACGAGTCTAGTTGTTGCCCGATAGTTTTCTCGATGTGCTTCAATTTCAAAATATCGAACTGTGTGACGAATGTGACAGCTTTACCACTCGCCTCAAATCGAGCAGTTCGACCGATTCGGTGAATGTATTGGCGGACGTCAGTAGGAACATCATAGTTCAGAATCATATCCACACTGGGCAAGTCGAGTCCACGTGCAGCGACGTCCGTCGCCACCAAAATCTGAACTGTTCCGTTCTTAAACACGCCTAAAGAGTTAAGCCTTTCCTTCTGCTTTTTAGCAGCGTGCAAAGAGGATGACGGTATACCCAAAGTAGTGAGCATCTGTGAGAGCAACTCACACTTCTGAATAGTTGCAGTAAATATTATAGTGCGTTTCGCCTCAACAAGAGCCAGCTCTCTGACAAGCTTCACCAAGTTAACGTCCTTGATTCTTTCTGGCATGAAACAGTATGACTGGGAACATCTCACGGCTGTTTTCTTAACACTTTTGTCTTCGTAATAAAAAACAGCGTCACCTAGCATCGACTGTAGAGCTGTCACACTTTTAGTGATGGTCGCCGAAAACATCAGTGTCTGGCGTTGCTGAGGCAAGTTTGACATGAGATACTTTAACTCAGCCGCAAATGAAGAGTCCAATAGCCTATCTGCTTCATCAAGTATTAGACACTTGAGTTTGCTGAAATACTGAACAGTATTAGATGAGTGCATAAAGTGCTCGAACAATCGCCCGGGGGTCGCCACTACTATATTTGGGCGACGTGAAAGAGCCGTTGCCTGTTGAATTAGGTCCTCACCGCCTGTGATGACCATGCAGTTGAGACCAGTTCCAGCACCAAATACTGTAAACTGATCAGCAATTTGATTAGCCAGCTCTCTTGTAGGACTGAGGCAAAGAGCAAATATTCCGTAAGGATCTCTACTTAACATGTCTACAATCGGTAAAGCAAACGCAGCTGTCTTCCCACTCCCCGTGTTCGCGATCCCTATCACATCCTTTCCGGCTAGTATTTGGGGTATGCACGTTGATTGTACGTCACTCGGACTCCGGAAGTGGACGCGCTTCAGAATTTTAAGTACAACGTTGCACAGGCCCAACTCGTCAAAGGTTGCCATGGCGAAGCATGCGCACGTCCTCGCTGCCTCGTCGGCGCGTTATCCGCGCACACATGTCGCGTGTTGCGAAAACTTGCCGAAATTTGTACAAGGTAAACACAGAAGTTGGAGTATCCCCCCCTCATACTGTTTACCCATACATGACGTGCCCTATTATGACTCAAGAAAAGGTGTGCACAACCTACCCCGAGATGAGTCAAAATCCCGAGGCAAGGAGCTTACACATTATAATAATCACTAGATCTTTACGCACAGAACTCGCTACGACGTGATCACCACAGGACCTTAAGCTTACACTTGAACTAATTTTGTATGGTGGCCGAAGAGTAATTAAAGGGGATACTCGTACGACGCTACTGTTAATTGCGCAGAAACTACCCACTGCACAATGTGCTCATGGGTTCGAACCCCATTCCTGGCACAATGGATACGAGCCAGGATGCCCGAGTGGTCTAAGGGGGTGGATTTAAGGACAACTTCTGAGGATGACTTTTTTGACGCCTCCCAGTTTTGGGCATGGTCAGCATCCATCGAAGCTTAGCAGAGGCGGTGACCTCTCAGAGTTTCATTCAAGTCTTAAATTGAGACGGTACGCACGTACGTACTCTGGGCAAGTCCCTATCGTGCACATAATCGGACTCGTACAGCTAAAGCTCGAACACAGGGTCAGGCAGCCTCGACGGCTAATCTAAGCGCTCCATCAGGTTGTAGCGAATGTGCTCGAGAGCTTAAAGATGGACGACATCTGCGTCGAGGGCGCTTGCAAGTTGCCACACGGTCAGAACTCTTCAACCGAATCCGCTTTGTGGCTTGAGGGCTTACTTGAAGTCGGAGGCACATATCGAAGCCGCGCTGTCAGTGCTGAATTATATCAGACGAGTTCAGTTATCGCGGTCGAGAAGCTCTATGAAGCATCAGCAATTCTCCAAAAATTGTCGCAAGTTAGACAGACATTGGAGTTCAGTCAATTGAAGACGAGTCTCGAGCAAAAGTTGCTATTGGCGCTGCAAGAAAAGAACCTGAATAAAACACTCCTTTCGTACGAAAATTTACTCGAGCTCGCAAACTCGCGCTCTGATGCTCACTGCATTCAGCAGTCTATAGCAGTGGCTCTATCTTTCATTCGAGAGTCAACCTCGGCTCAATGTGGTGCAGCGTTGGAAATTCAAGACACACTCAGCATCCTGCAACTAGCCGATCAGCTGAGTAAAATCGGTCTTCTTGACATAGTTCAGCAAGTTATAAGTAGGTCCATTTCTCAGTATATCTTGTCAAGATATGAAGCAGAGCTGTGTCGGGCTACCTTGTTTGCATCAACACAAGTCGGTGTGAGGATGAACGTTGCCCCACTGCACGTGTTGTATGAGTCGATTCACTCAGTTTTACTCCATATTGAGCTTCGACTAGAAAACGGCAGTGCAACGACGACACAAATAAATGAGCTGATATTTTTAGACTTGTTTGAAGCTTGGTCGCAGGTGATCGACGAAGCCCTTGTCGAGGTTGAACGCGGCGTGCGAGAGCGATTTTTTGCACAATCGAAACATACACGAGAAGATTTGTCATCGTTGAAGTGCTTGGATGCCGCTATTGAGGATACCATACTCGTCGACAGGATATGCAAAGCGCAGCACTCTCGCTTTCAGAAGTGTCTGGAAAAGTTGCCTTTGCATGAAGTATCTCTACTTTCGCAACTTCGCAAAGATTGCTACGAACTTTTCCCACTTCTTCGTAAGTTGGCTGATTATTACGTTCTGCTGGAAGATCGATACCTGAGCTCGAGTGCACTCACATTTACGAACATGCAAAATTTGCAAGAAGTGAATACTTCCCAAACAGCTTCGACAACGTTGGATGACGTGTTCTTCGTGGTGAGCAGAAGTGTCCGCCGCTCATTCGCTTTTGTTGATCCCGCAGTGACATCAATTCTTTTGAAAAATACATCTTCTACGTTGATGGAGTTCTCCAAGCAGTACATGGATATTTTTCTGAGACAAACGCCAGAAAGCTCGGCAAGAAAGTTTCCAGAACTTCATCAATACGATGCGTACTTACACGGAAACCGAAAACGCTCGAAGCGAAGCGATATCGACGATCTTGTTATCGCTCTTGCTCCTATCAATACGGTGAGCATTATGTCTTGTCGTCTACAACAGCTTCTCAATGACACTGAGTTACTGCGGTCAGCCATATTCCCAGCTAGTGCTGAGTCCGATTCTATCTCAAACACCTTGAAACTGATCAAGTCTCTCTCACTCGAACTCGTCCATTCGTGCAAAGATTATGTTTCGAACGTATCACGGTGCCGCTTGAATTTACACGGCGAGGTCTGGGAGAAACTTGCGACCACGGACTACGTCATATCGAACGAAGCGTATCATATGGAGTCCATCGGAACCTGGGTGAATGACACTCTAATGTTCTTACTCAACGATTTCTGTACTGCATCGGATGTTCTTACACAAGAAAATAATGAGCTGTTGATACGATTCGCGAGCGAAAGTCTTTCTACGCGCTTGGAAAATATCACAAAAGCGTGCTTAAGTTTTAATCACCTCGGTGCTTTGAGATTCGAGCGAGAGCTCAGATACTTGATATCTGGGTTGTCTAGCGCAACGAGCTTACATTTGCGGGAGCATTTCTCTAGACTGACGCAGCTTAGTGTTCTTTTGAGTGCAGAGACGAAAAGTGAAGCGGATTCTTATTTAACCGACATGACGCACCACACGTCCTGGAAGCTCGCCGAAAATGACGTGGAAAAGATCTTGAGCTTGCGAGTAGATTTGGCATGAAGTGTGACGGCACATCATCATGGCCACTTTACTCTATGAATGTAATATTATTCTCAGCATCTGTTACCCAAACGCCCAAAGCTGTGTACTCCGTCAAGCACGTACTGAGCACGTCTAGCAAACTATTTTTCGCAGCGAGTTGATGCGCCACTGTACAGGTGATCAATTCACTAGAGTTCTCACCAGCCCAGTTTCGCAAAATCAAAAACAGCGTTTCGATTGGATCTGAAAGCTGTGCTGTAGCTGCCTTCTGCATGTCCAGGCTTGCTTTCGACATCTTCATCAACTTCAGCGCCTGTTCAACATCTTTCTCGTAAACGACAGTGGACCAGCGGAGGCGTGCCAACGCCTCGGCTAGTCTAATGATGGAAAGTAGCGTTCGAGCTGTGGTATATCCAGTCGCTTCATTTCCGGCTTCATCTTCAGCCTGACGAATACCAACATACGCTCCCGCAATGGAGTCCGAGACATCTTCTGGAATGTACGGTTCAAATCGTCGTGCGATCGAGATATATGTTCGAAGTTCAGAAGCTGATGCTGGATTGAAGCTGTTCAACGGCGGACGGCCTTCACGATGGACACACATGACATGACGCGCTAGCTCCACGTCAGAGTCTGGGTCGGGTGTATCGAGGATAAGCCACATAAGATCAAATCTACTCAGAAGAGCCGCGGGTAAATTAATATTTTCTTGCGGTGTAGCACTTGTATTGTACCTACCAAATGCTGGGTTTGCGGCCGCCAGGACCGTGGTTCTCGCATTCAACGTTGTTGTTATTCCAGCCTTCGCAATACTGACGGTTTGCTGCTCCATGACCTCGTGTATTGCAGTCCTATCACTTTCGTCCATTTTATCGAACTCGTCTATGCAGCAAATACCTCGATCAGCTAGCACGAGTGCACCACCCTCAAGGATCAGCTCAGTGGTGACAGTATCTCGTTGAATGGACGCTGTAAGACCCACACCACTACTACCGCGTCCAGTGGTATAAACAGCACGAGGCGCTATCGAGACAATATGCTTGAGTAGTTGAGACTTCGCCACACCAGGATCTCCCATCAGGCACACGTGGATATCACCTCGGATCTTAACACCATCCGGAAGCTTTCTCGTGACACCACCACAAAGCAAGAGCAACAGGGCCTTTTTCACATCAACATGACCGTAGATCTCGGGTGCAATAGACTTGGCTAAGTAGGTATAGATGTCAGGAATTTCGCTAATGTCTTTGAGTCGTTTAATCAACTCGGGCGTCTCTTCAGACTCTGCTTGCTGCGACTTGAGCGGTTCAACGGACATAGCGTACAAATACGTCGTAGAAACCAGGCTAGAACTACCAGAATATCCGGCACTTTGACGAGGGAGAAAAATACCACTGATGTTAGCAATGTCCCCAGGGCTCAATTTTCTTGTCATATCTCCGATCAGCGTGACCGACATTGATCTCGGCACGTGTCCAACTGGTACATCTTCCGACAGCTCCTGGATTCTGAGTTCTTGATACTTTGCAAACTTTGATGCTCGGGTTTCAATGAATAAAGCGAAGTTTTTGTTGCATGTTTGAGACTGACAGAACTGTATTGGAATGAACTGCGTATCTGTTACTTCTTGGAAGTACTCTTGTCCACAACCTTCACATGTATAACACGCCACTTCCATGAGGGGCTTGACATCAGTTAGCCTCGTACACATACCTTTGAATGTCACATACTTTCCGATCATCTTCGCTCGAATTTCACGCATTTTTATCGGTGTGGTTCCCGTTGCAGGTTTGAAAAAGACGTCAAAGTGGCGCCGCAGTGACCCAGGTGCTGCGCTCCCATTCCTGTGGTCACCGAAATGGTGCCGCAGTACAATATCTGCGGTATCATCCGGATGCATACTACTTGACTCTATCATACGCGCCATTATTTTGTCGATTTCCTCCGCGAAAATAGTTGAGTATCTTTTGCAGTTGGATACAACTCTGCGTACAAGTTGATCTCGTTCAGCCTCAGAAAACTCTTTTACATGTTGCAGTTCGATCTGCATGGAGCAACTTTGGCGGTCGATGATCTCCTGCATCGCGATGATGTAAAGTGGTTTTGCAGCGCCAGATTTGAAAGTTTCAAGGAACCCTCGGATGAGTTCTCGGTCGTGAGCGTACACCTCTTCACTCATTAAAACTTGAGTGTTACGCGCGGAGGCTCGTTTCTGTGCGTAATAACTTTTCGGCTTGCTGCGGGAAGTTGAGATGTATGAAGGAGTACACGCGCCACTTCTACCAGCTGATGCTACGCTTCGACGCTACGCGCTGATCGCTTGCAGCACGGCAACAGTTGTCTGTAGACACGTGATTTAAAATCGCGAAGTTTTCCAGAGATTCCAGAGATGGAATCCAGACTAGGGGTGCTTGGTAGAGGTTTGGTATAATAATAAGGTTCACAATTGAGAATTTCAAAATTTCAAGGTATTGGCGAAATTTTGAAATAAATATCTTGATTTTTCGCAAAATTCACCTAAATTTTGAAACATTTTGGTTAGGACTGCTTGAAATGCGTATAGGGTCCTATCTATACCAGGAATTTCCTGGTACGTACCAGCGTACTGGGACGTACCAGCCGAATGTCCGAACGCGTTAATCGTATGGGTAAACAGTATTGACCAGCTGGTACGAGCTGGTACGAGCTGGTACGGAGGTGACGAATCGACGAGAACCGCGCGAGAACCGACGCACTTCGCGGGCTAAGTCTATCTATCGATTCAATCTTCTATGTTTACTACGTGTCTCTTTCTCTTGACGCTCTAATGCCTTGCGGGCTGCCTTCTGTGCAAAAGTTACATGCCTTGTCCCGAGCGGGGACGTGAGTCATCACCCTGTACCTGCATTTTTCATCGAGGTTACCTACACATGTCATTTCCGTTCGATTCAAAACGTTTGCGTGTGGGGGCATGACCCGCTCGTCTGTGTCTTTTACGTACTGGTCCACATGCTCGTCACCTGACGAGAGGATTTCGTCGTCTCTGATTCCATCATCATCACCATCGCTGTCAGCACCTACCACGGCACCGACGGCTACTTGACTTTCTTCTACCTCACACGTCTCTGATGTCGAATGTGTGCTTCGTCATCGCTCCTCGGGGCGGCGCCCGCTTCGTCGACGGGCGTCATCGAGCGTCGATGACTGGCGTTTGCTAATAATAAATCATTTCAAATTTCAAACACGTCGCGCCTAAACCCGCGCTGCTAAACCCCGGTCGCACCCTCGCGTTCGCGCGCACCTCGCTCGTCTCGTTCGTCGCGCTCTTGGTCGTTTTCACGCGGTCATAAATCGGGTACGTACCAAAATCGACTGGTACAATACTGTTTGCTCGTACAAAATACCTGGTACACCGGTACGCTGGTACGGTACCAGCGTGTACCAGGTGCAGCAGGCCTAATTTTGGTTGCAGTGGTAGTGGTTCAGCTGTTGAGACACGCTCAAGTTACAGAAGCGATTGCTTCGAAGTGAAGTGTCGGTGATAAGCATACGAAGCGGCGAGAGCGTGGTTCTGGCGTACCCAACTCTGGCAGCAGCGACGGAGTTTGGTTCTAATTCGTTTGTCGAGTTCAAGCCCCCGAGGTTGGGGTGATTTTCCGAGCGCTTTACATGCAGACTGTTGACTTGTACGCGAGGAACGTGGTGGTACGAGTTTCGACTGTTCTAAACGTTCGATCCTGAGATAAAATGAGACATCGACCGCTGTTAAGGAGCTTCTAGCCAGAAAGCAAGTGTTAAACAGGTCGGTAGTTATTTTCTTTGAGTGAAAGTCACAAGCGCGTTTGGTCTTACATGTTACTATTTCAGTCAAGTGCACGTAGTGAGTAATCCCACGTCCGAGACTGGTGCGTTCGATCATGGACAATATTTTTCTTTTCTTCGGACGCGAAATATTGGTGATGTTATCGTCCACTCCAGGAAATTGAAGAGCACTAGTGATTTCCTGTCTGAGTAAGTTGTTCTCCAAAATTTCGATCGCATCTATTAAACCAGTTAGAAACCTCGAATTGTTCCCGCTCGGAACAGTTTGTGTCTGTGACGAGCAACTCGCAGGTCGTGGGCGGGGGTGCGTGTAGTGACGGTGTCTTTATTGTTCTTAATTTCGCGCCAATAGTGAAAACGTGTGGCAGTCACCGCTCGGATCATTAGCGTTTTCTTTCACGTGTGCCACAAAGCTGTGCGTAACATGAGCTAATTTCCTATTTATCGGTGGCTGACCTACAACCAGGTCAGCATCCGATATTCCACTCATGCAGTATGTGTCTACTCTTGCAGTTGTGAAGGTGTGTGCTTGTGGTGAAATAAATACTGCTACCATTAAGTTGGTTTCATAATCATAGGCGATCGAGGATGCATGTTATGAAGCTGGCTGCATGGACTATGCTGGACTGGGTATTCGCATCAAATGGCCGAACGATATTTACTACAAAACGACCAAGGTGAAAAGTCCTTGCGCCGCATCGATTGACGCATTCTGACGGTGCTTACGCTAGTTGGGAGGTGTTTTGTGTCGAGCGATTTACCAAGAAGCTTCGTTTCGAACGATTGTTGGTATTGGCTTGAATCTCAATAACGCGGTGAGAGTGTCCACTGAACATTGTATTCACTTTGTATGACTCATGATGAAAACCAAATGCAATCAGTCTCCCACGGTTTGCTTGAGCGGTATTGTTCGTGAAAAAGAACATATGTTTCGAGTAGAAGACCATGGACCGGTGTGGAACACCGCCCGCACAAGTGCACTGGTAGACCAGAAAGATGAGGAAGTTCATCCAGTACGTGTCTACATCCGTTGAAACAAGACTTTTTCACCGTATTCCAAGCTTTTCATGAGAGAGCGCCTTATACCTAGAATACTTGGTGCGTCAATGGATGGATCGCCTTGTTTCATGTTTGCTCAATTTTTCGCTCAGAACATTTTGAACTTGTTCACGAGTCCATAGAAACTGTGGGTTTCTGTGCTGTACGGGTATGACCTTTTATCTTGTGCTTTGATAGTGTGATGTTCTTACTCGCACGCACAGGATGAATATTTGAAGTATTGGTTGCACAGTGGAACGTGCTTGAGCGTGCTTGATGCCTCAGGCTCTGATGCATCGGTAACAGTGGTGGGACTAACGGACGCTGGGCTTTTGCTGGCAGGTGAAGTTAACGAAATTTCAAGTCAATAAAGTTTGACTCAGCGTATATTGCAGTTGGTGAAGGTGATGAAAAATTTGAACTCCATCCGGATAGTAACAGTCTTGACCTGCTAAGTGGCATGGTCCGAAAGAAAGTCCACTAATTATCGATCGCTTACGAACGTTTTAATGTACAGTGAATTTAGGCTTGTTCAAGATGTAGTCGAGCACACCGCTAGTTGTCTTCATTTCTAGTAGATCAAAAACAGATATAGTTTTGCAGGTGATGATGCTCAATTCGTTGCCCACTTCTGCGAGTGTGAGAGAGTCTGCCCCAAGTTGAAGGAACGGGGTATCGACCGACTGAAGGGCACCAGGAATCAACCGGTTAAGTGTTGCGGTGATATCTTCAACTGTTGCGACCATCACCTGCGGCTGCACTGTTGCACTAGTCTGATCCGTCGCTATGGTACCGGATGCTTCGAGTGTCTTCACAACATTGTTCTCCGGCTCGTACAGAACGATTGAATGCGCAGGCTGTTCCCAACGGCAGTCGTTATCGATAGCCGAAAGTCCAGTACGCAGCTCTAGTAAGACGCCGTTAGCGACCACCACGATCGACTTCTCTGGTACCGGGAGACTCGTAGTCACATTTCTTCGCCTATCCGCGACGATGGCTCTCAAGTTTCGCACCTGCTCGCTGTATCCCATCCTACTCACTTACTCACGAGAAGTACGTCGACGACGGCGTGTTTGGGTCGCTCGAGACCCCGGGGGGGCGTTTTCTGCGTTACGCCTATCGGAACGGAGTGTTTTCCGGGAAGTCTCATTTTCCCAGGGAAAATTTCCCTACGTTTTCTAATAAGAGACCCCATTTTCACTACAAAGGGTCTCATTTTGTCCCTACGATTTTTGACCAAAAAACGTAAAGAAAATGAGACCCCACGCGCGGGCGTGGCTAAATCTCAGTGCAGGCCTACTACATAGTATGTAGTACATACTTGTCAGTGTCACAACTTGAGCAACCAAGGTCGTGGCAATTCCAGCTGGCGACGCGCGACGTGTCACGTACGCAGCATGAGAGCACTCTACCTAAGCAACACGTGTTCGACGCGATGTTCTCAAGGATGGATCAAATTAAAGCGTCCGCGTTTCGCACTGCGGGTTCGAGGCCTTGATGCGGCGCAGCCGTTTGATAGCGAAAATAAGTTGAGAGCCAAGTTCGTTCAGAAAAGAACTCTGCGTATCGGCATCATAGGCTTCGGGAATTTCGGGCAGTTCCTAGCAAAACACTTCGTGCGTCACGGGCATGTCGTGATAGCCACATCAAGGGGCGACTACTCACAAGCTGCAGAGGTGATAGGAGTAAAGTTTTATCCAGATGCCGACGACTTTTGTGAGGACCATCCTGATGTGGTGATTGTCTGCACGAGCATACTCTCTACGGGGGATATGTTACGGACGTTCCCGCTACAGAGACTAAAGCGCAACACTCTTTTCTGCGATGTGCTATCCGTGAAGCAGTTTCCAAAGCAGCTATTCCAGCAGTTGCTACCACCAGATTTTGACATATTGTGTCTCCACCCTATGTTTGGTCCAGACAGTGGAAAGCACAGCTGGAAGGACCTACCGCTCGTGTTTGATAAAGTTCGAATCGGAACCGAACTGTGTAGAGTCGAAAGATGCGCCAGCTTATTAGGAATCTTCGAGGCCGCTGGTTGTAGCAAACTGGTTTGGACACATTGTTCCGGTGGTGGAAGGCAACCACCACGGAGTCGAGAACAGGCGGCTTCATCTCAGTTCATCACGCACACTGTTGGGCGTATGCTTGGTACTATGGAACTCACAGAGACCACGATCAACACGAAAGGCTTCGAGTCACTCCTTTCTCTGGTAGATAACACTTACAACGACTCTTTTGAACTCTACTACGGTCTATTTATGTACAATAAGAACGCAACTGCTGAACTTTCACGGCTTGAGCTGGCATTGACAACAGTGAAGAGTGAGCTCTTCGATCGTCTGCATGAACGCATCAGGAGCGATTTTTTTAACGAGAACTGAGCGATCGCGGATTGAAAATGATATTTATCTATTCAAACCAACGAGAATCCTCACAAGGAAAGACAACTAGCTATGCGCACACATTCGCCGTTCAATAACACATCTTTATGTTCGTCGGACGATAGTTCGTTCATCACGTCTTCATACTCACGCGCCGCTAAAAGACTAAGCACTTGATCCAAATTGGCGCTTTCAGCAACTGTGATTGATTCTGTACTGATGCACGGTCGCACAACATATAGTGTCATGATGAGACCAGGCGATATGTCAAACTCATCTGAAGCATACACGACACGACCTTCATCATCTCGAGTTGAAGGTAAGCAACCCAAAGACTCTCTAATATAGTCAGCCTCAGCGTTTATCATTTTGCTGACAAACTCTCGACCTTCATTATCCGAAATAGTGAAGAGCACGTCCACGCGATTGCTGGTACAAAGGCCAGCACCTTTTCGGAGCTTTTGGACACGGTTGACGAGAAGTCGTGCGGCGCCAGAATACAGAAGCGACTCATCCACGCGTAGGTCAAGTATGATCATCCCTCGATCGCCTACTGTCGCGTACGCCAGACTGGAATCATCGTCACATTTGAAATCATACTTGATGGTGATATCTGAAGCAAGCAGTTCACTGCCGGCAACAAACGCCGTGTGCGTGTTTTGAAAAGAAACAATCTCTTCCTGGGTCCATTCTTTTACCTTTTCCGCGACTTCCTTCATAGATCTACCCAGTCGTTTGCCTAATGTTGAGAAATTAGGCTCAGCTCTCATCACAGCGAAGTCTGTCACGTTTGGACTGACGTGCACACATCGAACATTTAACTCATCTTTTATGTACAGGAGTAGTTCTTGCTGCACATCCTGAAGAAATTCTGCATCGGAGTCTATCAGAGTCATCTTCGAAACGGGCATCTTTAACGGCTTGCCAACTCGTTCTCGCATCGCACGTGCTGTCTCTATCACCGCTTGCATTTTTGCAACAGACGACTCTATTTGTGGAGACGAATTTTCATCGTATTGTGGAAACTCACAGAAGTGAATGCTTTCTTCCGATTCCGGCAAGCATCGTCGTAAGTTTTGATAAATATTTTCCACAAAGAAAGGTGTGAAAGGGGCCATGGTCTTGCACAGCGTTAACAGGACGTGGAATAGGACATTGAGAGCAAGATATGATTCGTCGATACCAGCCCTTCCTTTGAGTCTTCCACGATTGTACCGCACGTATATATTCGTCAATTGATCTATGAATGAAATCAATTTCGGAACTACCGTATATAATTTATAGTCTTGCATTTCTTCAGTGACGAACTTGACAAGAGAGTTAGTTGACGAAGTGATCCAAATATCAAGAACATTCGTTGACTTGGTGCCTTGTGATGGCATGAAAGTGCCTGATGTCTCCTCGAACGCGAGCACATTCTGTACTAAAAAGCGATACGCATTGTACCATGGCAAAAACACATCTTTTAAGACGCCAAACACGCCGTCTTCCTTGAAACGAAGGGGCTCTGCTCGAACGACAGGACTATCTATGAGGTATAGGCGCAGAGCGTCTGCTCCATACTTGTCCAAGATAGTGTTCGGGTCAGGATAATTCTTAAGTGACTTCGACATCTTTTTACCATCTGCAGCAAGAACTAAACCGTTACAGATGAGATTCTTGAAAGCTGGTTTGTCAAACAAAGCTGTTGATAGCACCATGAGTGTGTAGAACCATCCGCGGGTCTGATCGAGGCCTTCTGCAACAAAATCTGCTGGAAACGCTTCATCAAACTCGTCCTTGTGTTCGAACGGATAATGTTGCTGAGCGTAGGGCATACTGCCACTCTCGAACCAACAGTCGAACACATCTTCGACTCTTCGTAGGGCCGGATGTTCTGGGCCGCGTTGTGATGGTATTTCCAAATCGTCAATAAAATGGCGATGCAAATCTGTGACAGTGGTTCCAGTAAGGCGCTCAAGCTCTGCAATTGAACCTACCACAAGGGTTTCGTCACCAGCAGGGGAAGACCAGACGGGTATAGGCGTTCCCCAGTATCTATTTCGCGATATAGCCCAGTCATGTGCGCTCTCTAGCCAATTGTGGAAGCGTTTTTCTTGTACATACGATGGAACCCATCGAGTTTCCAGATTATTCGCAACAAGACGTTCTTTTACGTCTTCCACTTTGACGAAAAAAGAGGCAATGGCCCTGTATATCAGAGGAGTCTGTGATCGCCAGCAGAAAGGATAGGAGTGCACAATCCTTGAGTTATCAACCAGTCGTCCACAGTCTTTTACCTCCTGTATCAAGAGCTTGTCCACTTCTTTGATGTATCTTCCAACGTATGATGGGGTGGCTGGCTCCATAAAACAACCGTTGGCGTCCACCGGATCCGGAATAGCGTCACCTTTACGAATAATGCTGTTATTGATGCACACCCGATAATCGTCCTCTCCGTATGCGGGGGCCTGGTGAACGACTCCTGTGCCTGAATCGCTTGTCACGTAGCTATCAGCACACACCTTGAATGCATGGGCACTATAAGAAACCTTGAACCAATCGAATATAGGTTCATATCTTAGACCAGCTAGAGCTCGACCCTCAACCGTCTTTATGATCGTCCAGTCATCGCTGAGTGTTTTCACTTTTCCCTTACCTTTCTTCATTGCGCCTGGCAAGCTTTCGAGGCGTGTTTCTGCCACAACGAGGATGCTACCTTTTGGATCTTGCACGTACACGTACTTCAGTTCTGGATTGACACAAAGCGCCATATTCGAGGGAAGGGTCCATGGAGTTGTGGTCCAAGCCACAAGTGACGCTTTCAGATCGCAGTCGATAATTGGAAAAGATACCTTTCAAAGATGTCAACATAATCATCTGTGCCAGGAAATAATCTCACCGTCACTGCGGGATCGGACACATCTCTGTAATCTAAACCGGCCTCGAAATTCGACAGCGGTGTGTTGCATGCGGTTGAATATGGCATGACTTTGAAGCCTTTGTACACCTACTTATTGCTTAGTTCATGTTTGACTTTGTGCCTATGATACTCACCAAATTCTTTTCATGTAAGGTCTTAAAGACCCACCAAATACTCTCCTGTTAGATTATCATTAATAGTGTATCAGGTCTAGTACGATAGGTCGCACCATGAACTCGGGATCCATGGTCTTGTAATCATTCTCGAAGTCTATCCATCGGCCAATCCTTGTGACAGTTTTCTTCCATTCCGCTGAGTATCTGAGGACGATGCGTCTACACTCTTCATTGTAGTTTGCTATTCCCAGTTCGAGGACGTCGGCTTTGCCTTTAATCTCTGTAGAACAAACGTCATATGTAGCGTTAGTGATGAAAAAGTGCACGTACTGAGCTTCTTGTCAATTTCATGTTCAACGGGTAAACCGTGGCAATCCCAGCCGAAACGTCTCACCACATGTTTCCCCGTCGTGGAAGCAAATCTAGTGACAATGTCCTACGAACGCATAAGGCTTCGGTTGGTTGAACAAGCTACTAAAAAAAGCTCACCTTAATAGTACCTGCCAACAGGTGGCCGTAGTGTGGGAGTCCAGTGGCAAAGGGTGGTCCATCGTAGAAAACAAACCTATCTTATGTTAGACGCGTTTATGAATTTATTTGAGAGTTCTTACTCAGGCCTGCCTTCAGTGCGTTTCAACTGTTGACCGAATGCGTCGATTTCTTCCCACAGTTTCAGAACCTTGAGCTCCTGTTCCAGGCGTCAACTTTTGCTAGTAACCGACTTTAAGAAAATCATACCTCCGTTGGAAAAGAATAATGTTGCCCTTCGGCCACTGCGTCGAGGGGCATCCGTTCAATGCTTTCACCTTACTCCACGGCGTCTGCTGGGGTACACTGTCGACCAGCGTTCCACTCGACGAGGTTTGCGTGAGGGTTTCCCACTTTCTGTTTCCTGGCCCATCAGCAAGGTGCCGAATAGGGCTGCACGCACATGTGGAAAATCGGGAAATAATGCGAGTGTATGTAACCTATCACTAAAGTGCCTAGGTTACGATAAATCAACTGGTACTAGTACTACAAGTAACTTAGTACCGGTAGAATGATACAAAAAGCTCTGCACCAGCCCTAGCACTCTAAACCCTACCGCCGCCAAGAGTCTCTCGCAGGGCTGGGCAGACCGCGTGAGTCACTTTCGGCCGTTCGAACAAGACGCAGGTACGTGTTCTATGAATGCGTAGTGCACGTGGTGGTATGAATGGTTGTCCACAAGCTCTGTCGAGTGTTTTTTTTCGCACGAACGGAATACATTCTAACGATCTGTCCGAACGAAGCCAGGTTTTAACATGGACGTCGACCGTCTCCAAAGACTTGCGAGCGCTGTGCGCACCGGTGGCAAAGGATCTATGCGACGGTAAATCGCTTGCACATGTCTATTCGAGGTTCTAATTGTTTCTTAGCAAGAAAAAGGTCGCGCACAAGACCGTTTCCGCTAGTGACTCGAAGTTGCAAAACTGCCTCAAGCGCATGCAGGTCAACGCTGTCAATGGTATCCAAGAAGTCAACATCTTTCAAGGAGACAACGTAATCCAGTTTGCGAATCCGAAAGGTATGCATTCTCACAAAGCAGGGACGAACTTTTGCTGACAAGATTCCCAGTGCAAGCATCTGCGTTGGCAAACACAACAGTTGTGAGCGGGCCATCTCAAACTAAAGGTGGGCTTTCTTGATCTTGCAAATATTGCTTGCATAAACGACGGTCCTCCAGCACTTCAAGACATTCTTCCGGGCGTTTTCAACCAACTTGGTACGTCGATTCAACTCCACGTGCCTAGAATTTCTCACCTTGACTGTAGGTCCCGAAAACATTGCCAACTTGAAGAAAATGGCAGAACAGTACTCCCAAGAAGAAAGTGGGTAATTGACGGATTAGTGTTACATTGTGGTGCACATTGTCGAATTCGAGAATAGTCGCGAATGATACCGGTACATGATCCTTGTTAATGTCAAAGTATAGAACGTCGCAACTATTGAGTAGCCACACTGCACGTTGAGCTTCGCGACATAACGATGAAAAACCATTTAAGATTTGGATTACATCATGTGCATCGCAGGTTCCACTACGTCGACCTAAAGTCTAGGGCGCTGTGGTACTCACCTAATCTGATGACCCGTCTGTTGCCAGAACAAACACTTCCACGCCAGCTGAGCTGTTCTCATTCGACCGAAGGAACAGACGATAATGGGGAGGCGATCGCTCCTGCGTGAATGGACTCGGTAGCAGCAGAGCCGCTCCTGTTGGAGCTCGAACGGCTATCAACATGTCGCTCGACAGCGCATGTTGCTCAATAATATCGGCCTGAGATATGAAAATGCCAGTCTACATGCAGTTGAGAAGAGTATCACATGAGAAGCGGCGTATATACCTCAAGCTGGCTATCTGTAAAAACGGAGCGAATAAACGATCTAATAGTTTCTATATGTAAGCTCGCATCATCTTCAGACGCGAGCGGTAGTGTCTGTGATGACTCAATATTCACAGTACGACTCAAAGACTTGTGTTCCTTGTGCTGTCCACTCGTTGTCTCAACAAAGTCTTCATCTACACGACGCAGTGCCACTTTACTCTTTGATAACTTCGAAACCAGACCGATTCCCTCGAGTACATTCGTAATATCATAGACTCGTCGCTTTTGTGCTGAAAGCGATGTCGCTGCGTGGTTCAGATCCAGGATGCCGTTTTCTGTCTCGCTAAGGAGTTTCATGAACTTTGCGGACAATACTCCGAGAGAGCTGCAAGAGGTATCAGCAGAATTCAAACAATGAGCGCGCGCGTACCTTTCGAAACGACCCAGACTCCGTTTACTTGACAGCACATGTTTTTCAACCATATCCTGCAGTCTAGGAGCTGGTTCTGAAGATCGTTAAACAGCGAATCACCGAACGTCGGAGTTTGGAGATGTTCCTTTTCACAGTTAAAGAGTTTCAGAAGCCGATTCGAGTCCCTCGGCTACTCGTACGCTGCTCTCAACAATGAGAGTCACTGAACTAAGCGTTCATCTGGTGCAAAAGTACCCGGCATAGGCCTGCTGCACCTGGTACACGCTGGTACCGTACCAGCGTACCGGTGTACCAGGTATTTTGTACGAGCAAACAGTATTGTACCAGTCGATTTTGGTACGTACCCGATTTATGACCGCGTGAAAACGACCAAGAGCGCGACGAACGAGACGAGCGAGGTGCGCGCGAACGCGAGGGTGCGACCGGGGTTTAGCAGCGCGGGTTTAGGCGCGACGTGTTTGAAATTTGAAATGATTTATTATTAGCAAACGCCAGCCATCGACGCTCGATGACGCCCGTCGACGAAGCGGGCGCCGCGCCGAGAAGCGATGACGAAGCAAACATTCGACATCAGAGACGTGTGAGGTAGAAGAAAGTCAAGTAGCCGTCGGTGCCGTGGTAGGTGCTGACAGCGATGGTGATGATGATGGAATCAGAGACGACGAAATCCTCTCGTCAGGTGACGAGCATGTGGACCAGTACGTAAAAGACACAGACGAGCGGGTCATGCCCCCACACGCAAACGTTTTGAATCGAACGGAAATGACATGTGTAGGTAACCTCGATGAAAACATGCAGGTACAGGGTGATGACTCACGTCCCCGCTCGGGACAAGGCATGTAACTTTTGCACAGAAGGCAGCCCGCAAGGCATTAGAGCGTCAAGAGAAAGAGACACGTAGTAAACATAGAAGATTGAATCGATAGATAGACTTAGCCCGCGAAGTGCGTCGGTTCTCGCGCGGTTCTCGTCGATTCGTCACCTCCGTACCAGCTCGTACCAGCTCGTACCAGCTGGTCAATACTGTTTACCCATACGATTAACGCGTTCGGACATTCGGCTGGTACGTCCCAGTACGCTGGTACGTACCAGGAAATTCCTGGTATAGATAGGACCCTATACGCATTTCAAGCAGTCCTAACCAAAATGTTTCAAAATTTAGGTGAATTTTGCGAAAAATCAAGATATTTATTTCAAAATTTCGCCAATACCTTGAAATTTTGAAATTCTCAATTGTGAACCTTATTATTATACCAAACCTCTACCAAGCACCCCTAGTCTGGATTCCATCTCTGGAATCTCTGGAAAACTTCGCGATTTTAAATCACGTGTCTACAGACAACTGTTGCCGTGCTGCAAGCGATCAGCGCGTAGCGTCGAAGCGTAGCATCAGCTGGTAGAAGTGGCGCGTGTACTCCTTCATACATCTCAACTTCCCGCAGCAAGCCGAAAAGTTATTACGCACAGAAACGAGCCTCCGCGCGTAACACTCAAGCTGTTGATTCAAGCTACTGTTGATTCCAAAAACTACTGCACTTGCAACTGCAATTTTTGCTCTTGCATCTTGCAGGTTCAATTTTCCCCACCCCTACTCTCAGCGAACAGACAAACCAAGCGGTTCCAAACGCTTGCGTTGGACACAGTGCGTGAGGCAGATATCCTTCACGTGGACACTGAGCGTCTATCAGTTGTTCCAACTCACTGCCCCCGGTTATATTCGCATAAATTCTTCGTGGTACGAGTTAAGTTTGTGGGTGTGCAAGCATGTACTGCTCCGAGTCAGGATATTCGTCTCACGTAGCCTGTTGGAAACATCACACATGGGACGAACTCTTAGAATATCCGCGTACTCTCACTCAACGCTCTAAGAGAACATACAATGCTTCAAGTAACTGCCTTCAGGTCTGGCTCAACGAACGGCAACACGATTGGCAAGCAACAAGTAGGAACACGAGGTATTTCCTTTTGTTTATTTGACCGCTGTGTTGCCTCAACCTCTCAATTGGATAGTAGCACAGAGCGATTCGCACGTTGGACGAATCAGAACCAGAAAACATCTGCATATCAGATACCAAGTGAGGTATGTAGTAGTAGTAGTAGTAGTAGTAGTAGTAGTGGTGGTGGTAGTAGTAGTCCAACGTTTGCTTCCAAATGTTGCAAACTATGTCGCTTTTGTTTGTGTTGCTACAATTACTCCAAGTACTGATTCACTTCACAACGTAGAGTGATCATGACCTGAAACTGGATGTCGTGAGTAATGAGCACGAAGGAAACAGCGAGCAAGGGGTTTCACAAGATGGTACCTTGAATATCACCCCTAGTGGTCAACATCCGCGCAGGGTTTTGTGCTTGATGAGTGATACCGGTGGAGGTCATAGAGCAAGCGCACAAGCCCTAAAAGACTGCTTCGAGCTGATTCATGGTATTTTCATTCATAGAATATCTTTCATATCCAACCTAACGTTTCTGGAAACTGGAGGGAATGACTTCGTGGTTCATATTGTTGACTTGTGGAGTAGTTGCTCCCCATGGCCTTTCAACAAAATGCCGGAGGGCTACTTCTTTCTGGTGAAAAATCCGTGGCTATGGAGACTAAATTTTCGTTGTTCCGAGCCACGTTTTATTCACGAAGTGATGTTCAAGGTGCGATACATTTCGACATGGTTGGAGTCTCATCCTGTCTTTGTCTTGGCTTGATAATGTTTTCGTTAAAATCTGACCAGTTATTCAGGGTTATAGCGCGATTGTAGCGAATCACTTTGCACGGGAGTTCGATAAGATCGATCCCAATTTAATTGTCAGTGTGCATCCACTCATGCAACATGTGCCGGTATGTTTTCCAGCAGATTTTGTCGACAACTTCTTGAGATATCTACAAACTGCAGTTGACTATTCTTCGTCGGATGAAAAATCATTCGGCGGTTCCAACAGTGCCTTTTGCTACGGTTGTAACCGATTTAACTCGATGTCATGCAACCTGGTTTCACAAGGTGATATCCAAAACGATTGGTTGACAATTTTTCATGACGGTTTGACAGGACGTTGACAAGTGTTTTGTGGCGACAGATTTGGTGGCCAAACAGGCATTTCGGCTTGGCTTGCGGCTCGAGCAAGTCGTTTGCCACGGACTTCCGATTCGTCCTTCGTTCAGTGCCCCGAGCCGCTCCAAACGCGACGTACGAGCGAAGTTAGGTCTTGATGTGGAAGCACCAACAGTCATGCTAGTAGGCGGCGGTGAAGGCATGGGCAAACTCAAAGAAACAGCGGTAGCTCTGTCTCAAACGTGCGTCTAACTCCTTTACTCACTGTTTACATCACTGATTATAAATTATTATATCATAGATTGAGCAGTTCGCATCAAGTAGTGGTAATCTGTGGCCGCAACGCCAAGTTGAACGAATTTTTACGAGAACAGTCATGGCCTCTTAAGATGGTTGTCAAGGTGAGCCCGAGTTTATAACGTGCTGTTATTGCGTGATAGTTCACCTTTAGGGTTTCGTGAACAACATGGCTGAATATATGGCCGCTTGTGATTGTGTTATCTCAAAGGCAGGTCCCGGTACAATAGCTGAAGCGCTGATCTGTGGTGTTCCTATTGTCTTGAATGGTGCGTCATTTTTGGTCGAAGATGCATGGTGCATACCTATATTTATATTATAAAACTTTAGGCTGCATACCGTGTCAAGAAGAGGGAAACATTCCGTTTGTCATCGACAACCAGGTCGGGGCATACAGTGAGATTCCACAAACAATAGCTCAAACAGTTGCTGGGTGGCTTGCACCTGAAAATGCAACTCAACTCTCCATGATGTCGTCTCGTGCGCGAGCACTAGGGCGTCCTGATGCCACGTTCGATATTGTGCGCGATCTCGTCGGTAAGTATTAGTAAACTGGATTTGATCGAAAGACGAAACTACTTTCATTCAACCCCAGTCTGGGTGTTGCACTGCGCAGGGCAAAAGAAGACTAACTTTTTTCTTCTCGTTACCACTCACTCCTCAGAAATGATCGAGACTAGGAAAAATTGATCTGGCCGACACATTCCACCAGAAAGAACTCCAGCTCGTCGACTCAAATGAGCGAGCGACACGTCGTGCGATAGTATATTCGTGATACATAGAACTTTCGACAGTGTACCCATGTGCGCTTCACTTGAATTATTTATTATTTATTTTATCATGATAAATAAATAATAGCACGCAAAGTGTTTCTTGTTGAGCGGAGGACGCGATAGTCTCTAAAAGATATTCAGCCATTAGCGCACAATGTCCGTACGAAGACGTGTCAAATCACACACAGCCTGACGAGCGCACGTGTGGAGGAAAAAATGTTTCAGTTTGAAAAGTTATAATAGCAATGTGAGTAACAAAATTAGTTCGAACTTCACGCTGACGGCAGCTGTAGATCATTCAGACAAAAAGCGGCGGCCGGTAACTAAATGATAAGGACGCAGTCTAAGATGGACAGTCTGATGACTTGATTTAAAAATAATTAATTATAATGAAACGTTCGTCTAAGCACACCCTGCTGGCGAAAGAGAAAACGTGGAGTCTTCGCAGTGGTAATCCGCACGCCCGCGCTTAACCCAAAGATGCCAAACAGATTCGCCATGCATTCTAGTAAAACTCGTATATGAAAACGAGTCAAGTCAGGCGATCGCGCAGTTTAATTGATAAATTAATTAATTAATTAATCTTAATCGTTTCCTACCAACGTCCCAGTTAGTATAGAAGCTCATTTGTGCGTAATGTTAATCATGCGCGACATGAGTGGACGATTCGTCTTCATGCCGAACATAAATAAACATTTTCCATATTTGTTTGTTCAGAGGGCACTCGACTGACTTGATTTTGATTTTTGATTATGATTAATTAATTACACTACTAGTATTCAGTATTTACTACATGCGACTCAACTTTCAACTGTCTACGCTCTAATAAAATAGAGCAAGCGTTAACTAGGAAGCGATAGTCGCTCGTTCTTCCGCCAACTCAAGATATAGTAATAAAAGAAGTCGCAGTAAGTTGCTGTTTGTAGAGTTCCACTGGTCCAAACTATCCACTGCGAATAATCGCGTTCTGTAAAATATCGATATATCCAATTCAACATGTACAATGCGCGGTAAGCGCCAAGTAAGAAGATATAGTTGCTCGTGAGTGTGTCGATGTTGAACGTCCTCTGAAGCAGGACAAGTTGTGGTAAGATCGCTACAGCTTCTAAATAAATTGAGAAAGTCCACAGAACTTCAGTGAATGAAAACTCGTGATTTATCATAAGAGATAACATGAAGCAGGGGACGACTAAGAACGCCACGCGGAATGTATCTTGCTCGCGATCGTACGTCTGCGCAACGATTCGATGACACCGCATGTACCAAATAATGCAAAAACTGCTGCTGATGAAGATGAGTTTCATGATCACGTTGTACATTGAAATGAACGTGAAAAATAAATCTAAATATCTGCTCACGAACACTATAGCATACAACTCTTGCGTCCTCAACGACAGACCGGCACAAGATTTTGTAGCCTGTATTTTCAACAGAAGTACCTGCGAACAGTCAGTCAGTCACGCAGTTGAGATGCTTGTTGTATTCGGCTTACGATTATACTGCACAAGTGGGTCATGTCCCCAGCTAAGTGTCGTGAAGAAAAAAAGGTTAGTGCCAAATCAGTCAAGCTGTTGCGGGCAGATGAACAGTCATAGCGTACCAAACCTAAAAATATTCATGTCCTTCGGAGTCCTCGAAGGAATATTTTGCAGTTGCCGTCTTATGAACGGACGATCACGACTCGCCCGAAGATGTCACAACCAAAGGTTCTTCGGACTCTTGGCCGCCACAAAACTTGTTGCTCGACGCCTCGAAGGAGAGATGTAGCTCCAACGAAAAACTAAGTTTCGACCGAACGATGGAACGATCGATGAGATGAGTTAGGGGTCACGCTCTGGTACAGAGTTTTCCAGTATACCCAGTGTTAGGCGTGAGCGACAATTTGAGTAGGCCTGCTGCACCTGGTACACGCTGGTACCGTACCAGCGTACCAGTGTACGAGGTATTTTGTATGAGCAAACAGTGTTGTACCAGACGATTTTGGTACGTACCAGGAAATTCCTGGTACAGGTCACTTTTGAGCCCGTCGTGGTGGGAAATCCCGATTTATGACTCCTCGGCGAGGCTCTGGCGCGTGAAAACGGAAAACTTTATATATCGCCGGTTCAGAGGAGTCCCTACGCGACTGATGAGTCATGAAGGGACTCTCCCAAGCCGTGAGATATAAATTTTTCCGCGAAAACCGTGGTGGTTGCACGATAAATTTTTACATAAACGACTTTTCAACAGAGTACGCGATTTCGATTACGAACGTTTCATCTTCGTAATGGTCAAAACGTTCGTAATTTGGCCCTAACGCAATTAATTTAGCCTGTTTTCTCCTACCTCTATTAAGGGAAACCATAGTTACGCTTATCGTTCGTGATGCCGAGAGCGGTAGAAAAACCCCGAAGGTGTCTTCTAGCCTAGCCCAAGGGTGGGAGTTGCGGACCGCGTTTCCTGCACTTCCACGCGTCGTGCCAGTAGCATACACCACCTACAACTCTCAAACGTCTCAACGAATTTATCATCAGATTTTCTAGGGCGATGTATGCTAGCGCTCATAGCGAGTTCGCCGTAAGTGCGCGCACAAACGTAAAGCACCGCTCCGCCGCCCCGAATGCTACCTTGCGGGCTTTCTCTAGTCGTCCGTCGACGCAACTTTCCTCTCGTTCGCTCACGAAAGGTGCAGTTGGATTGAAATGTCGTCAACCGAGCGTGCGAATCACTGGACGTCGGTCCTTGGTCGTACGCGCGGAAAAAGTCGTCGGTATCGATCTCGGTACCACAAACTCTGCGGTAAGTTTTTTCTTTTGCTCGAGTCGCTAGCTTTCTGTGCGCGAATAGTTCAAGTAAACGAATCTAACGTTTTAATCATAGGTTGCCGCGATGGAGGGTGGTTCCCCCACGATTGTTACGAACGCAGAAGGAGGTCGCACCACGCCGTCGGTTGTTGCCTACACGAAGAGTGGAGATCGCTTGGTGGGTCAAATAGCCAAAAGACAAGCTGTGGTGAACCCTCAGAACACTTTCGCTTCCGTCAAACGTTTCATCGGTAGAAAAATGGATGAAGTCAAGAGCGAGTCGAAAGAGATCCCATACTCAGTTGTGAACGCGAGTGGAAACGTAAAAATTGACTGTCCAGCACTTGGCAAACAGTTTGCAGCAGAGGAGATCTCGGCACAAGTGCTTCGAAAGCTATGCGATGATGCTGCAACGTTCCTGGGAGATACTGTCACTAAGGCCGTTGTAACCGTCCCTGCATACTTCAATGACAGTCAACGACAAGCTACCAAAGATGCCGGCCAAATTGCGGGGATCGAAGTTCTGAGAATCATCAATGAGCCTACGGCGGCCTCACTGGCTTATGGGTTTGATAGGAAATCGAACGAGACAATCCTAATCTTCGATTTGGGAGGTGGCACGTTCGATGTCTCTATTCTTGAAGTTGGAGATGGTGTCTTCGAGGTCTTATCTACCTCAGGAGACACTCACCTCGGTGGAGACGACTTCGATAAACGTGTCGTCGAATGGTTAGCAGATGATTTCAAAAAGGCTGAGGGGATCGATCTGAAGAACGATAAGCAGGCATTACAACGCCTTACTGAAGCTTCCGAAAAGGCGAAGATGGAGCTCTCGAGCACATCTTCAACGTCTATTTCACTTCCTTTCATCACTGCAACGGCTGATGGACCAAAGCATATTGACACATCTCTGACTCGGACGAAATTCGAGCAGCTTTGCGACGATTTGATCAATCGCTGTAAAGTTCCAGTGGAACAAGCGCTGAAAGATGCAAAATTGAGTCTGTCCGACGTCGACGAAGTGATTCTCGTGGGCGGCTCTACTCGTATTCCCGCTGTGCGCGAGTTAGTGAAAAAGCTCACATCAAAGGACCCAAATATGAGCGTCAATCCTGACGAGGTTGTCGCACTCGGCGCTGCGGTCCAAGCTGGCGTGCTCGCCGGTGAAGTCTCCGATATAGTACTACTTGATGTCACACCGCTGTCTCTTGGGCTTGAAACTCTGGGGGGCGTGATGACAAAGCTCATTCCCCGAAATACGACTTTGCCAACATCGAAATCTGAAGTGTTTTCCACTGCCGCCGACGGTCAAACTAGCGTGGAAATTAACGTCCTACAAGGGGAGCGTGAGTTTGTCAAAGACAACAAAAGCCTTGGAACTTTCAGGCTAGATGGTATTCCTTCTGCTCCACTTAACGCTCGAACTTGCTCCTCGACGGTAGCGCACTTGGACGTCGGCTCGGCGTTTGAACCAACGAGCGCTTCGCACATGTTGGTCCAGTAGGAACGATCTTGGTGTCTCGATGCGCATTGTTCGAGGACTAATTTTGCGGGATTATCGAGCTCTAACTTTCCCCACGCGTGCGTGATCCTGCTTTGAATGTGTGAGGATTTGGATGATCTACTGGCGACGAGAGCTTCGCGCTCCCAATCGATGAGCGGCTCACGCAGAAATATGTCCATGACGCCCTTGAGCAGCGTCGAACCGTTCTGTAAAGCCTTGACCGTCCTTGCCATGTCGGTCTCGAGCCACGTACGAGCACTCATTGGTGCGAGCACATCGAGGAGTGCCGGCGTGGCTCTGAACGGTACAAGTTCTGGAATTGGCAGTGCGGAAGTCGCCGTGCCAAATGCATATCCAAAATCTATATGAACCAGCTGCCCTGTTGAAAGATCGAGTAGAATGTTGTCTAAATGCCTGTCTCCAACTCCAGCAACGTATCCACAAATACTTGAAGAGGACAAGGATGCCGCAAACGCTTGACGCATCATCAAGAAGGCCTCTGCATTTCCTGCACACTCAAGCAGAATGTTTCTCAAGGCATTGTTAGAATGCGATGAAGACCTCAAGCGGGATAAAATCGTTTCTGATTCCTTGCACGAAGCTTTATTGATAGCGGCGAGATAATCTTCGTGCGTTGTTGTCATCTCGCCTTGGGCGATGTCGCGCTTTCTCTTTCCGATTCCACGCGCATGCTCCCTGATCCATCGTTGATGCTCCTTGAATGGATCAATATCCATGCCCGTGACTGGCTTACTCAACAGTCTAAGTAGTGGCGATGTATTGCTCAAGAACTCGATCAAACCAGTGCGAGGGGTCAGTGGAG